AAAAAAAAAAAAAAAAAAAAAAAAGTCAACCAAAAACCTACAGTAGAAGCAAGTAGAGGAAATTGGTTCAAGTTTCTTAACTATCTCATGGAACAAAAATGCTTCATGAGGCTGTTCAGGGAAAGAGAGGGTCAAATGTCCCTCATTAATGCTGATTTACTAAGAGGGCTGGGAAGTGGCAGGGGGAGACAGTCCAGCTGCCTGTCTCAATGCACAGGGGTCCTGGTCTGGGATCCAGGCTGGGATGGGTAGCTGGACCCCCAACATAAGACTGGAGTGGTGGGATTACCAGCAGAAGGTAGGGTGGGCTGCAGGCTGCTGTGCACCCACACCCAGGGAAGACCTGGCCCACATCACACTGCAGAGAGGCAGCACAGCTCCCTCAGCTCATGCAGCAGTTTGGAAATTTCATGGCTTTCTGAGGAAAAGAGCAGAAGTTGAGTCCATTCAACCCAATTAAAACTCCAGAGGAAGTGCAGAGAGGCAGGATGTAATTACCCGTGCTGGAATCCCAGTTTGGAACAGGAGGCAGAGCTCTCCGGATCAAATTAATCCCTGGTGTAACTCTGCCGAAGTTACACCAGGGCTATAATTGGCCTGAAACATTTTAACTATCTCATTTAATGTTATTCATGCTCTGCTGGAGATGAGAATGTTTATCCTAAATGAGGGATTCTAATGCTCTAAAGCAATAATAGAGTGTGAGGCTTATGTGGTTTCTCATTTACAAGGATGCTGGGGAGGCCAGATTGCCACAGAAGATGCAGTAAATCTGGATTCCCCAAATCTTTAGCAATTTCCACAGCTCCTGTGGTGGCTGGCTGTGCCATTGTCCTTCCTGCAGTGTCTTCACCCTCCCCACACCCAGGCTACTTTTCCATCTCTTGGAGATACTGGGGGCTTGTACCCCATACCGACCCAAGGGCAGGAGATGGAAAGTGGAATGAGAGGGAGTGGAAAGCACTGAGAGAGGCCTTCCAAGATTAAAGCTTCCATAAATCATCAGCAGTGAGATTGCCCAGGGACAGACTGATTCCTGTGATGCTAAAAGGGGGGATTTCCATCAATGGGGGCTGTCTCCCTGAGTCACTGCAGAGAAGCAGCCTCCAGGCTCCTGCAGGAGGAGCAGGGTCAGTGCTGCAGGTAGCTCAGCAAGCACACAGAGCTGGACACCCCCCAGACAGTGTTTCCAGCTGCCAGCCCTGGGTTATCCACCAGGATGATCCCAGGATCATCCTGCAGTGAGAGACAGCAAACACAGCCCTGCCACCCTCCATGAGGAACATCCCCAGGAACCACCACCTGTGGTGGCGATGCCATCAGTCAGCCAAGCACACATCCTGCCTCTTGCAAAACAAAGCCTGCAGGTTACATTCCTCCTTTTGCCAGCTTGTGCCTGCCTGCCAAGAATGCCCCTGGGCCCCAAATCTCTGCTGTGTGCCCTGAGTCCCTCCTGACCCAGCCCTGGTAAGTACCATACATGGTGGGCTCTGCACCACCATTACCAGGCTTTTGCAGATTGCAATTATCTGTCTTTAAATCACACTTCCAATCCCCAAGCTGCTTTTGAGCCAGACCTCTGGTCTTTCCCTCTGCTCTCATGCCAGTGGAAACCACAGGGAAGGCAGATCTGTTTGTTCTGAAGCAATTTTTTAATGCCCTGTAGCTTAGAAGCTCAAGCATTACAATTCATTCCAGCTCCTTTCTGCTCCTCAGAGGATATTAGATCCTTCTTTTGATACTTCCTCACTCTTTGTAGATGTTACCCTAGTTTTAATTTTCAGGGCTTCAAGACTGTTTTTAACAGTGCTGAGCTTTCAAGTTGCTTCCTTCAAACTTTCTCCAGCCATGCTTTCTCAGAGCCTAAATAGCTTTGATTATTCCCAGATGTTTTTGGTTTGTTAACCCCAGAATAGTATTGTGTAACAGCTTGGAAAGAAGACTGGCAGCAGGGGTCCTGAGTTCTCTTTCCTTGTTCACCAAATCACTTCCCAAGCAGGACACCTATGGGATTTCACCTACAGAAGGAATGCCATTA